ACTTTTATCATATTTAGAGTTCAAAGTTACGTGCCCCACTCATACCTCTAAAGTACATCGGAGCATTCAAACTCATAAACTATGATAATAAAGATACACTGATTAAAAGAATTCCTGTAATCCATATCTTTAATGACACAGCATGCCTGACTAAGACTGAAAATAAAACTAAAGGTTTGTCTTACAGCCCTTTACACAGAAAGAAAAAAAAAACTGTAATAATGAGATGGGTGGACATTGTTGGTTGTTCTAACAATAAAGTTATGGAGTACAGAACAGATAAGGTAAAACAACTTTACAAACAGAGGCTGAAAGACTACTCCTGATGCACGAGGCTCATGTGGAAAGGTAATGACAGAGTACTACAATTGCCCCTGGACCCACTAGTAGACTTCTGTGTGTAAGACTTGAACCATATGATAATTAAAAATGACATTTCTTTTTATTCTGACATGATTTTACCAATCACCGGGGTTGAAGAAGAACGCTGTTTTGTGACAGTGTGACAATCAGAGCCTAAAACAGATGAGACCAGTGAACAAGGACAAGATGTCCAAGGTTTTAAAGAATTTTAAATTCCTGCATGTCGTCAGTAAAAACCTCACAAGCACATAAAACATCACTCAGCTGTTATTACCACGAGTGTAAATTACTACGAATATGTATAGTCTTCATTTTATTTATTCATTTAGGATTTTATGAACTTTGGACACACAAACCAAAAGTGAAATGTGATGATAGTATGAAAAAGGCCTGATGTCTTATCTGCTTAAGTAAACTACGATATCGCGTTTGATATATTACAAATGACATCTTGTGTAACAGGATCATACAGAGGCCAAAGGAATGACATACCTCTAATGTTGGACAGCATATCTGGTTCAGATATTTTTCAAAAAAAAATCTATACTTCTGTGATATTGCTGAATTGAAATTTTAAGGCAAACTGTGAAAAACCGTGAAACTGTACATGACCACTATATATTAGATGTATGTGTGATAGATAGATGATAGTAAAACAGTAAAACAGCATGGGCTTTGGCCTGATAGACATAAGGAACAGAGGCCATTGACTTGTAAAAATTAACATTCAGCCCATCCATACATACGCTACATCTTATCTATGTGTGGGTACTGGGGTGGGGGCAGCAGTCCAAGCTTCTCCCCAGCCACCTCCTCTAGCTCTTCCATTAAACAGAGCCAGCTGAAAGATATAGTCTTATCAGCATGTCGAGGGTCTCCTCCTGGCAGGACGAAACAACACACCTAGCAGGTATTTAGGAGTCATCCTTGTTAGATTATTGCACCACGTGAACTGTTTTATTTTCAGCATGGAGAAATAACATCTCTTCTTTCTACCATATTTCAGAGACAAAGCCCACACACCCTGCTTATTTCTGGTGCGTGTATCTACTTGTACTCAGAAAAAAA